GCTCCTCTGATGCTGGGACTTACTACTGTGCTGTGGCCACATGTGGGGAGATATTATTTGGAAATGGAACTAAACTGGACATCGAAGGTATTTGGTCTTAAGTACTTTAATCTGTTCTGTATATTCACAAAAATATATTTTGGGAGTTGTTTTTTTGTTTGTTTTTTGTAGTGCAATCAACACAATCAGGATTTATTCAAATGACAATATTAATAGTTTGCTTGGCCATTTCTCTCTTTGGAAATGTTGATGAATCTGCAACAGACGACTAGTTAATACTTGAATAATATGACAGCTAGGTTTCAATGTTTTTTAGAATCATCAATAATTTCCTGTCTTGTTTTTTTTTTCTAGAGCAAAAATCAGGTTCTGAACTTACTGTGCTGGTTATGGCAATAATATTCTTGGTTATTTCTGTGACTCTCATTATTGTTTGTTGTGGAACTCCAAGAGGAACATGTGAACAAAGCAAAGGTAAGTGTTGTTCATGCTAAGAAAAGTCACACAAACATCATTCTAGTGATGTGCCATATGATTTACTTTCCAATTTGACACCAGGTAAAATTCAAGCTGATATTGATGATATTGATCTGATACCTATAATAGAGCTCCGAAACACTTAAAATATACATTATTATCTATCTGTCTCATGTATGATTATCTGTGTTATGTATTTTTAAGCAGTATTTTGAATGTTTAAAGCCTACAATGACTTTTTACTGCAAGTACGCTGTATATTTTAATGACCCCCAACTTATATAATCCACTTTAAATCTTCTACAACCAAATGAATCTGTTTGAGTTTATCTTAGGGACACAAATATAATTTTAAACTGAACTCATAAAGCTATTTATTGTAGCATATATTTATTTCATTACTTACATCATAACCATATTTATTGATGTACATTACAACAAATGGGATGGAATTCCTATTGTTTAAACATTTGCACAAAAATTCGCACACTTTCCAAAATTCAGCAACAATGCTACAAGTCACCAAAAGCTCCACATTTCCTTCCTCTGTAATCAGATGCTTCCCATCATCATATTCTGTTTTATTACCTTTGTGTCTGAAGGTTTATGGTCTTGCAATGTGGCCCAAACCACATCTTGGCCACATCATTGTAACATTATTCAATAAAACTGGACTCACATTTGTGTTGTGATTTTGTCTATCAACACAGATGCAGTTGCTTTGCAAACAAATGTGACAGCAAAAGGAGATCAGGAAATTCTGCAGGTAACTCTGAAAAATATCAGCACCAAGTTTTCAGTATCTTTTAATGCATGCCTTTGTAAATAACTCTCACCATTTGTTGTTGTTTTCATCAGACAGATGGAGACTCATTGGTTTATTCTGTAGCAATTTTCTCTTGTGGAAAAATTAGATACAGGAACAAAGACTAGATACAGGACAGCAGAACATGCAGACGATGAGAAATAATTTGAGGGCTCTTGAGCTGGATTGATATCTAGACACATAACTCTTGCCTTTTTAAATTGGAAATGTAGATTAGAAATGTACTTGTTCTTCTAGCTAACCTAATTTTCTTCTCTGTGTTTATTAATAATTTTGTTGAGAGACATGAATAATTACGATGATAATTTTCCCTGTTAAGTTTTCCCAATAGATGTAAATGCTTTGAATACCATCTATGAATGTGTTTTTTTTTTTAAATTGTGGAGCTTTTCTTTTACTATCTTTTGACATGTTTCTAGATATTCTTGTATCTGGATTTGTTTCTCCATGTCCCGGATCAGTTTCTAATTCTGACTGTAATGTATAAAAAGAAAAGTTAGAAACAGTGGATGTATTACATGAAATGAAAAAATCTGTTTTCTACAATTTCTTTATGTATTCATTGTGGCCATTTTTTAATATGTTTATGCATTTTTTTTAAATTTTGTGTTCATTATGACCTTCATGTTTTAAAAATATCTCAGTCAGTGTATGTTGATTTGAAATGAATAAAAAGTTACTGACTTATGTCTTGTTCATTTAATGGACTCAGTCATACAATAGTTAAATAACACAAATAAACTAGAAGGACATCAAATTGCATCCTTTATGTCAGAAGTAGGCCTAACATTTTTTGGCCTCTGTCATTAATTATTGGGCGCATCAAGAATGAATTTAAAAATCAAAGTAAAATAACTTTATTGGGCGATTGTGACACTTGTTCATCTTCAGACTTATCTCACGCCTTTAAAAAAATCAGTAGTACTGAAGCAAATTCTTCTGTGCAGATACACTTTTACCTTTTTGTAAGCAAGCATATGTTAAGGTGGGGCTTAACATATTTTGTGGGAGTTGGAGCGAGCTTGACAAAAAGGGACTTTAAACAAAATTAAGTTTCACAAAGTGCAACTTTCTTGTATGGCAGGTTCCACTGGCGCGCCAGCCTCTGGCTCAACACAAGCCTGTCCTTCCTGTGCACTGTCCAGCTGGGGTGGAGCCGGCCCCCTTGCTCTTTATTACAGTTGATAGTTGTTTTCCTTAAGCTGTTGTCAATTTGTTAACTTTTCAAGCCAACATGCTTTTTGTTTTTTGTGCAAAAACGCTCTGGAGTCTCAATTGAAGTCATATTTCAGGTCTTGATTTATTACTTTTAAGCTTCTGTAAACTTGACCATCAGAACGTCCTACCTATAGATATGTACAATGGAGGCATAAACCACGTAAGGTAGTATATTCTGATAAGGTAGCACAGATTGATAGACAGGACTATAAATTTACGCTACGTTAGGATGTTTTGACAAAGTACGACGTTTAGTCAGAACACCGGATCAAAGCCGTGAGATTCTTCATCCTCTGCAGGTCACGGTCAGTCTGGTCCTGCAGCTCATCCTGCAGCGGCGCGACACCGACGCCTGCTCCCGCTGTGTGGTCGCCAGCTCAGCCACCATTTGCGCCAGCTCCTCCTTCTGCTGGCCCAGTCCTGGGTATGCAGTGTCCTCCTTCCTGGGTTTCGGCACCACTGTAAACCACCACGTCAGACCCGATGGCATTTTCATGCTTCGCAGCATCATTTATTCTTACAGTAATCACACAGTTGCTGTAACAGTACATTCAACGGCTGCAGCTATCCCGCTGCCAGCCATACGCATCACCACCAACAACAACACAAGCAGAGCACAGGTTTTAAGCCAGCGAGGCGTGATTGTAGATGCCGTGCAGGTGAGTCCATCTCACTTGCAGCAGCATTGCAGACCACGCCCTGCCACAATAATAAAGCATTTTCTATTTAATTATAAACTTTGTCCTAGTTATGTCCTGGGTTTTAAATGTTTAATAATAAAAAAGGAAACATCACAAAAAAATGATGTATCAACCTTATTTATCGGTGTCAGCGAAACTGGCCCGTATTTACTTTGTATCGAATCGATACCAAAACCACCATCACTACTCTTGAGCTGCTGTTTCCCAGACTTTCTGAAGATCTTTCTTTTGTTTGCTCAGTCACTTAGCACTGACTTCACTCAGGGTATGGACCACTGACACATGACTTAACAAAGACCCAACTTTGAAATGTATTTTTAAACATTTTTAAGCATTTTGTTACAAACAGCCCGTCACAGTTTTACAGGAAGCAAGGCGTTTCCCAAAAACTTCGTTGCATGGTGTATTGGAAATTCAAGGAAATTGGAGTAGCACAGGATAGTTTAAAAAGTGGTTGGCTTAGAAAACTACACACCAAATATTTACTTTCAAGGTATAAGCTCAATTTTTGTCTTATATACTGTATTTTCTTTTCATTTCATGCAGTCAGTCAGTCTGCTATTTCCCATCTTTGTACTAAAATATAAAAAAAATGAGTAGTGGCACAACATTTTGCAGAGTACAGTATTTTATTATTGTGTTATGCAGTGCTAAAGACTAAAAGTATGTGATGTAGAGTGAAACATAATGTGAAGCTAGCTGAAATAGCCTGGTCACAATGGCATCTAAACACAATGATCAGAAGTGAAGAAGTAAATTAATTTTGGACACTGTATACATTTTTTTGTTAACAGTGTATTTTGAGCTACTGCAAAGTGTTTTTGTTTATATATATTAGTAATAGACAATAATTATTCCAATTTCTGACAACAGGAAAATATTTCTAAAGTGGTAAAGTATGGTGAAAGTGTTGACTGTTTAAAGCTACATTAAAGTCCCAGTAGTGGAACTGATCACAGCCACAGAGCAAGCAATTCAAAACAACAACACTGCAGACATATAAACAGAGCAACTGCTGACAAAGGTTGGCCTGTCTTACCAATGCAAAGCCCCCAGATCCAACATCAGCATGGAGGAGAGGAAGGCACTCACATCACTTAGTAATGACAACAACATTATTATCCTTTTGGCAGACAAGGGTAGATACAAAGCTTTGCTGAACCAGAAAGACTGTCATGAGAAAATCTTGTTACTGCTCAGGTACAAAAGTACTTATGAGCCCCTGTCTGAAGCAGTTAGAGCAAGACAATGTTACTGAATGGACCTCATCCTATACGCTATACCCAGGAGAAGCTACACCTAGTCTGTATGGTTTACCAAAGATATATAAACAGAGTGTACCTTCAAAGTAAGTGTCTGTATGATCAGCTCATTTACCTACAGCAAGTTTCTGACATCGATCCTCAACCCGTTTACAGGCAGCTCTAAACACCACATCCAGAAGACCTTGAATGTTGTTGAGAAGATGAGCGCTGACGTTATAAAGGGAGATGAAACAATGGTCTTGTATGATGTCACATCTCTCTTCACTTGTCTTCCACTCATTGGAGCAGTGGAGGTAGTAAGAGATAACAGGATGACCCAAACCTCAACAACAGGACCACTCCCAGCATCAAGTGTGTTTGATCTGTGTCTTCATTCTATAAATTTCATATACAAGGATGAGTACTACAGGTGGTAACATGGGTGGGCTATGGGTTGCTCTTTTTCACCCAGTGTGGAAAACTTGTACATGGAAAAGAGGGCTTTGTTATCCTACCATGGAACACCACTGTTAGATTTGTATTGTTTATTGTCATTTATGCCTAGAAATATTTAACCATATATGCTTAGGGGTGTATAATCGATTGTGTAGTGATAGGATGTGTGATGCTTAATAATCTGCAAAGGCTTGGTGTGCATTCCGGAGTGTTCTGGCATTCACACCCACATTCTGGGAGCATGGGACAGGGCATACCTTCTCTTATTGTTTTATGGCAGGATAAACGTATCTATATCTGTTTTAGGCTAAGTGCCTTTTGTTTAGATGAACTG